CCCCCCCCACACATGACTCAGTTAAAAAGCAGCACACTAAGTTTCTGAGATTGTGGAATGACCAACACTCTGTAGGGACGATTTGTAATATTAAAACTGAGGTAAACTCCTGTTGTTGATGTTCATTGATGCTTTGATGCTTATGCTCTGAAGTTCTGTTTTGATGCGTGTTAGAGCCTCTATCCTCCACCCTGTGAGAACAATGGCAGTCTTTGTGCCCTCTGACATCAGCTCGATGCCACAACAGTGCTGAAGTGTGGCAGTCTTGTGTGGGAGACAGGAAATATGCTGATCAAATATGGAGGGGGAGGGGATAACTGTATCCTGCTGAGTCATTTGAACACTGAATGAGCTGCTAATGCTTGCTTGAAATTGCTCGAAGACTCGGGGAGTTTTTTATGCAAAAGATGTCCTGGCCTCTTTGAGCAGATGATTTTATTTAAATGTCATTTTTTATATCTTCCAGCCATAAATAAAGAAAAATACTCTAAAAATGGTTTTGTAATACTGATGAACAGACTCTACATTAGCTAGTCTGTTTGAGGCAGGAGGGTAAGATTTCCATTTGGATTAGGTTGTTTCCAGTGTTACGAAATGATGCAATTGACGGAAAAATAATACTCTTTGTTCACATTTTGTCAGAAGTAGGTTGTCCATTATAGAGTTTACTAACTGTATTTGTTTATTTATATTGTGTATTTGACATAGATAATCTACATATATTTATTTTCTACTGTTATTATTTTTGAAATTGGTTTCTACATTATGTGCAATGCCTTGTTTACATGCTGCTGTGACAAAACACTTTCACAAATTAGGGTCAATAAAGTAAATCTAATCTAATCTAAAATACTGGTTGTGTAGAGCAATAAAACATGTCAACATTTTTAAGAAAATGAAAACACCGACCCCTCCCTCTCCTCCACCTACCGGTCGTCATTCGGCCCGACCAGCGGGTTGTTCCCAGAGAACCCCGGCATGTTGATGTGGTCCTTCATGATCATGACGTCCCCCACCTTGTAGTCCTGGTTCAGGCCCCCTGCTGCGTTCGTCAGGAAGACGGTCTCCACGCCCATCAGCTTGAAGACCCGCATGGGCAGCGTGATCTGAGGAACACGAGGTCATGTGAACACATGCACTCACTACAGTGACCCACCACCACCGCAGCAAGAAGACCAAGACCCCCAGGGCTCAGGGACAGTTTTATCCCACAAGCTTTACAACTGTTTAATTCCTGATCTCAGTAAATAATCAGGGCCGTCCCTCCCTACAGGCCGATCATGCCAACCCAAGGTCGCTTAGTGAAGTGTCATGACATTTGTTGATAGCATTGTTTACAGTCCACATATTCATATATTATTACAATAATTGTATTCCTCTGCAAGTTATTTTACTTTGTGTTCATCTTATTCTATTTGACATGTACTGTATATAGTTGACCTAATACTGCATTTTTCTCGTGGCACTATTTTCTTTATATCTTAGGTATATTGTTTGTTGCACTGTTGGATTTTGAATGCCATCATCTGTTTCTAAATCTGCAAGTCAAGCAGTCGACAGTACGCAGAATTTTACAGATGATCTCTGGGAAATCTCACATAAAATAACCCATACACAGAATACCTACATTTAAATAGCCAATTTATTTAAATGGTGTGAAATAAGGAGTAGCCTGTCACTGTAAAACTGATAAAGAGTTTTGATACAAGAATTTAAAATGATCAATGTGTCCTTTGAGGGACATGTGTTCAGTACAAGATTCATGGTACTGAATACTTGACTTGAGTATAATGATTTACATTACTTCATACCTCTACTCCACTATATTTCATAGGGAAAAATAGGTAAGAAACAACATATGATTAATTTAAACAATATCATTTGTTAAATACTGAACCAGTGGCTGGTCTGGGAGTTTTTGAGATTTTTCCCTCAAAATCTTTCTGATTCAATAACTGTTTGAATCCCAAATAAATGCAATATTTCACCTAAAAATATCAAAGATCATTTAAAAGTCCAAAATGTTATTTTTAATTTGCGTTGCAGAACATTCGTTTTTCTTCCTTTCTCCCCCATTCATCACCTCACCACCCCTATTGTGTGCCTCTTTCGTGGTGTTGGAAACCACTGGACTGCCGAACTTTCCATTTTAAAATGTGCTCAACAAGTTATTTTGCTTCTGATACTTTTAGTACATGTGGATCAAAATGATTCTGTCTTTTACTTTCAGGAAGCTGTTTTAAATGACATACTTTTAATGTATTGGCGTACTTATACACTGTGGTATAGGAACTTTATAAAACAAACTCACCTTCTGGATGGGGTATCCCTCGTACAGGTGGAAGCGACCCTGCATGCAAACACACGGCTTCCCTTTTAGCGTTCCAAACACCAGGCGACCAGCATGACCATCCACTGTAACACACACACACACACACACACACACACACACACACACACACACACACACACACACACACACACACACACACACACACACACACACACACACACACACACACACATGAGAGTACCAGCTGTGCATACCTGTGCTCTTGGGAAAGTTGGGAATGTCGCAGTACATGAAAAACTGCGGGTCCTTCAGCATCTCAGCCAGCCCCCCCAGGCCTGAGCCGCACACGATCCCCACAGTTGGCCGCACCTGCGTGTTGGACAGCAGCCAATCAGCTGTCGCCTTGCACTCTTCATAGCTCTCACTGAGGAGGCAGAAAAACAATGGTAATTTACTTATGTACTAAACCTTTGTATCAACAAAGCTTGAGCAGTTTTCAACACATGAGACTGACATCACTGACATCAGTGATGTCTTCATTTCACATCGTGCACAGTCATACTGCATTCAATAACAACTAAACAACAAAGAGGGATATGTGATTCAACAGGAGTCATTTGGGAAGGGGGGGGGGCATCCTGTACAGCCACTGACTGGAAGT